ACACACACACACACACACACTTTACTCAATCATCTGAAGCTGTTCATTCTTTCAGTTAAACCAGCCAGATTTTCCACCAACCTATTAGCCAATCATCTCATTGCTGTCAAAACTCTTTCAAACTGTTCCCTTCTCTATTGCTGTCAGTTCTCATTTTAGTGTGAGATCAATGCAACCTTCCTTCATCCTTTTCACCTTGTGTTCATTAAAGCCAGAATCCATGGGCCCTTCTGACTTATTCAGACATCCTGCTCTATATCACCTTTCCAGAGCTACAACCATTGCCTTTCACCCCTTTCACCACAACCATGAGTGTCTAGGCTTCAGTCTTTTTTTATTCGTTTGCATAGCTCACAGTATAACTACCCCTTAAAATGATGACAGTACAATGTGATGTAATTGCCCAAGACTCCTCACATACAGGTATTTCCTGTACTTTTCTATGTACAGTCAAATGCTCTTTAAGTTGTATACGGTATCAGTATATTAAACTAAATGCATTGATTGTATATTGATTTTTTTAACAAAGGTTAAAATGTCTGCTGCACATCACATGGCTCAGTTTGTGCAACTGAAATACAAGACCATATGCAAATCGGCCTGTATACTGTATTCTCACAAATTACATTGTTACCAAATTTATCCCATCCGCACTGTTAAATCCAAAAAAGGGACAGAGTTGTTGATTGATAAAGTGATGGTGCCTCTAAATTGCCTTTTTCACTTGATCCAACTTCTTTTCACAGATTATATAAACTCCTTCACTATAAGGGACTCCTAAAGGAATATTTAAGCAACAATGAGTACAAATTTAAAGCAAAAAAACCAGCTTAATGCACCTGTACATTAAAAGAAATCATTAATACCCATCCGCAGTGTATTGATAACCTCATCACAATGTACACATTGATTCATTGCTTCATCCATATATATAATTCCATTATATGGCATGCATTAATCTAAAGAATATGGAGTCCAAACAAATCTGAAATGAATGCAAGATGCAGCTTCCTTAAGGTAAGGGTTTAAAACTGAAAACTAACACCTAAACATATCACATGTTACATGATTTGTTTTAACAAAGATGACAGATAGCACTGCTTCTGCAAACTAAAATCTGCCTTCTCCTAGTATAGTTTGTAATTCAGTCATGCAGCCTCATCAATCATGTGGTCTCCTGCGCCTGCTTAATCACCCATTAAGCTGGGACAAGTGAACTGTGGACAAACAGTATCAATTCCACAGAGTGGACAGGATGAATCCCAAAATCATGGCGTACCCATCCAGAACTGCCATGTCAGAGGAGATGAATCAACTGTATCTAAGACACAAGTCAACACATTAATGGCAAGTGATAAACTTACATTGCTCAGCATGTTGACATAGCGTAACTGACACAAAATGCAGATTATCACCTGGTGCCCATTCCAAAGCACATCTGTAAACTCTCAGGAGAGAAAAGGTAATCCTCAGGTAGCTGCATGGGCAAACAAATAGGAGTGTCATGGTTGGCCAAGTGTTCAGTGGGTGTTAAAATGTATTACCATGATCTCTCTTGAA